TATCAAAAATAGATACAAGTCAGCAGTCACTCTTAATACCATTTTATGTTACTTCAAATGCAAGGCAAGACCAAAAACTTTTCAATCAAGCCTCCCTACTCCCTTTAAAACTAAAGTTACGCATGAGTTGATATTAAAAAACTTGTAGTACTCTGTATTTAGAAACTATGTCATTCATGGTATAACACATCATCCTAACCATCATTTTCTGTTTATAATCCTGCTATAGCTATCATGATCCCATACAAACTCTTCTTTAAGTGTTAGGCACTGTTCAGTAGATCAAGAAACAGCAGTATTTTCATCCCACTGCCTGACTTGACTGGTATGCTATCTGTTTTTCATCAGCCATTAAAAACTGAGGCTTTAAACTTTAAGCAAAAACATGTATAAACATTTGTGAAAAAAAACCCAAGCTCACTGAAAACATCATACTTTGGAGATGCCTTGCAAAAGAGGGATTTGGTCTAACCTCTCAGTTTCACAGAACTATTTTATTTCCAAAGAAACTCCAAACAGGAGCGGGGAGCTACTCCTGGGACTTTTACAGTTTTCTGAGAAATAAACAGAGTTTATTTCAGTGTTTTAAGAGTTACATTTTTAGTCTACTGGGACTTCAAAACACAATTGAAAGTGCCTTTGCACAACCTTGCATGCCACAATCTTTTATAGATTAACTACCTTCCCCCTCTTAATATACACACTTGCCCCTGCTGCAGGTCTGTTTCCAGCCTGGCCTGGAATCAGCAATAAAGAAGTACTTTTACATGGAAAACTCACGAGCAGAGAGCATTCTAAAATTTCTGAAGTACCACGGACTAGATCTCAATTTGGAAACATATTTTACCAAATCCATTTTTTAAAGAAATCTTCCCAACATAATCTGTCATTACAGCCTCTTAGCTGAAGCAATACAAGACCCAAGCCAAGATCCACACTGAAACACTCACCAATATACCCCTTATTAGCAGAATCTGCTGCAGGCGCAGCAAGTTCCTGGAGAAACAAAAAAGACAAGATACGAATGGTCACTTTCTTGCCAGTTATCATTACAGTGAGATTTACAAAAGCCATTTTCAATCAGTCCTTCTCTGTAAATTTCCTATGGAAAAACTCAGTACAGGGGTGTGCAGTGATTTGGCTCATAATTCATGGCAGGCCAGCAGTAAAGTTGAGGCTACAAGGCACTTGATAGTCCAGCCAACTAATCCCCAGTGCACTTATTGATCAATATGTAAGTAACTTTTCCATTACATAGCTTTTATCTAGAAACAACAAGAAGTTTATACTTGTATACATCTTTTCCCATGAATGATGGGCACCACAAAAATACATGTTCTCAGACTATACAGGTAGGATTAGGTAATTAAATTCCATATTAACTTTCACATCTGAAAGTAACTTAGGTGAAAGACTAATTGTGTCTGACTGGTACATTACTGTAACTCTGGGCAATTCATTCTAAACACCAATGCACAAATTCTGCTAACAGATAAATTAAAATAAAACCCAGCCATACCGCTTTCACTCCACAAATCACCGTGGTATTTCCTAACTTCACCAGGGCAGAACCATCTGCAGTTGTAATTGAACCTGAAGAGAGAAAGTACTGTTCAATAAAATCTATTTTTCATTCTAAGAGCATTAATTAACATCCACCTTCACAAAATGTTAACTTTCTATCCTTTTATACTAAACAGAGGCTAAGCAACATCTCAAATCCAGAGTGGGACTGAATCTCTATATTAAACAATCACACAGAATGACTGAGGCTGGGACAGCTGGAGCTCATATGGTGCAACATCCCTACTCAAGGAGGGCCACCTGGTTGCCCAGAACTGTACCCAGATGGCTTTTGATTATCTCCAAGGAAGGAGACTCCACAACTTCTCTGGCCAACCTGTGCCAGTGCTCCACCACTTTCACAGTAAAAAAATGTTTCATGATGTTCAGAGGCAACATCCTGTGTTTCAGCTTATGCCCTTTGACTCCTGTTCTGTCACTGGGCACTAATGAATAGAACCTGGCTTTGTCTCTCCCACACCCTTCCTTTGAGTATTTATAAATATTGCCTGGCATTGGACACAACACTCCAGGTGTGGCCTTACCAGTGCTGAGCAGAGCGCAGGATCACCTTGCTTGATTGCTGGCAGTGCTGTGCCTAATGCAGCCCAGAATAACATTGGCTTCTTTGCAGCAAGGGCACATTGCTGGCTCATTTTGCCTCTGCTCAAGGCAGTTGCCCACCAAGCTCAGAATACAGCAGAAGCCAGGACTCAGTGTCCCTCCCAAGATGCTAAGGCATCAATTTTGTGCTAGTCAGCATATGTCTTCACACTGCCTTCAGCATCTATAAAATATGCTGCTGACCTTAGACAGAGACAAGATTCCACAACCACCTCAATTGTGCTGCACATACCCAGAAAGGAGCAGAACCGAGTAATTACATTGTTTTCAGTCCTGATCCTGTACCATACATTCTATTTCATGCTTACTGAAATAGTAAACAAAAATCCTTTGTCTTCCTTGTTTCAAAGAACCAAGAAAACCAATTAGCAAGTCATTAAGGTCACTATTATAACCTGATATTAATAACATCTCCCCCATTATTATTATTATTATTATTGTTATTATTCCAAATAAGCACTTGCCTATGTTGACAGTGGTTGCCCGGAATTCACCTAACTCCCTTCCATCGGGTCGACAGTTCTCTTTCTAAACAAAAATTACAAAGTTCAAATTAGAAAACATATTTTATTAAATAATACAGCAATATTTATGCCATAGGAGTTGATATAAAATAATATTCTCTTCTTTTTAGCAGAAATATATAGCCTCAAAAATGCTAGGGAGAACTTAGTCACACTCTAGATGTTTTTTCATCAATTGATATGTAGTTTGTGGTTGTAAGCCTGCAAAAAAAAAATCCTTGATTTTTAAAATTTATTATAATTTATTTAGAAAATATAACAATGAATTGATTATCTCAAAAGTAAGTACAACAGGCTAGATTCAGAATATCATCCAAGAACGAATACTCGCTGGTAACTTAAAATGAGAGTTTCCACCCATCTGCACTGTTCAGGTTTCGTAGGCAATTCCCCTTCTCCATCCCCACCTAGTGGAGCTCTAAAGAGAGCTCTAAAGCAAACAGCCTCAAAAGAACTGCAACATTCAAATAGCATCAGGCAGAAGCTGCACAGTACGTGACCCTTAAGTTAGAAATTGAACAATATTCTATCATGTTAGATCTAAAGAACTGCATGAAAGAAAAAATGCATTATAAGCAATTTATACAGGCATCTCACATTTTACTCACCAAAAACCTTCTGTAATATTCCAATGGTTCCACAGTTCTAAAACAAATAGAAAGAGAAGTTCACATGCAAGCTCTTAAGTAGGTAAGAGATAGCAAAAAAAAAAGATAAGCAAGCATTAACGCACAACAACAAACAATTTGATAATTAAGATGCCTGGCAAAGCTGCTTAGCAATATGGTCACAGAAAGATGAGGAAACTCTGAACTGATCTAAGATGTTTTCCTACATTCAGTTACAAAATGCCTCCTCCCTACAAGGAACTTGCCTGCACATATACCTAACAAAAACTACTAGCTTTCACCTCAGTAATTTAAGTTATAAATCAGTAGAAGTGTTTACTGGCAGAAGGGTGTAGAACAGTTTTCAAAAAATGCAGGATGCATAATTTTATAACTGTTTCTGAAATATCTGTTAGTTCAAGGACCGCATTCAGATGTAGAATGGTATAAAACAATTTTAAATGCTACAGTTTTTCTTAGAATCTTTGAGAAAATATAAAATTACAAAATATGTTTCTTGCAGTGCTTCAGGTGAGAAATGATTAACGCTCATTATTAATTACATACTACTAACAGTGTTCGCGTATTAGTATTTTAAGCAGGGATCATTAATGTAAAAAAACCACCCACTCTTTTGACAGAAGTGTTCTTAATACTTAAACAAAGCATTCACAGTTTTGTTAATATAATACTTCTGGTGAAAAAAACCCAAAAGAAGATAAATGGGAAAAGAAAGTTTTCAAAACGCAACCTAACAAACAGAGGTATCACAAACATAATGGCAAGCATGAATTAGCTCCTGCTGGCTCCAGATATGGTGGTCCTGTACTACTGGTTTTCTGAAGCCCAACACAAGGCCTATTCTCTTCCAATTCAGGTAAAAGCACTTGCTAAACACTGTTTTGTGCACTTAAGACATAAATACAGAAGCAAGAACACTAGAAGAGGCTGCCCAGAGAAGCTGTGGATGCTCCATCCCTGGAAGAGTTCAAGGCCTGGTTGGATGGGGCTCTGAGCAACCTGCTCTAGTGGAAGGTGTTCCTGCCCACGGCAGGGGGGGTTGGAATCAGCCGATATTTGAAGATTCCCTCAGACTCAAACCATTTTACGATTCTAAAACAAGTAGTTATAAATGCGAAGCCACTGAATTCTCTACAATTTTAACTTCCTTGTAATGCTATCAGCTTTGTCAGGGGAGATTTAGGGTGAATATCAGGAAAAGGTTCTTCACCCAGAGGTTAGGTGGTGGAAGAGGTTCCCCAGGGAAGTAGTCACAGCACCAAGCCTGACAGAGTCCAGGAATGTTTGGACAACGCTCTCAGGCACGTGATGTGACTCCTGAGTGTCCTGAATAGGGCCAGGACTTAGAGGGGGTGATCCAACTCGGGATACTCCGCGATTCTGTAACACCAGGTAGCTCCGGGCCACACCTTGCTCCGCGCTTTGCCGGGCCTTTTCCCGGCTGGACACCCCTTGCTCGCTCAGCCCCCCCCGCCCACGTCGGGGCCTCGCATCCCCCCCAGCACCGACCCCATCCCTCCCCTCGCGGTGTGGCGGAGGGGCGATCCTCGCGCGCGGGCGGAGCCCCCGGGACGGGCTCGGCGGGACCGCGGCCGCGGGGCCCGGCACTTACTTGAACGCGGCCGCCATGGCGGCACCGGCACCGCCGCCGTCCCGGACGTGGCGCTCCCTGGCGGCCCGGCCCGCCCGGCGGGCTCTGCGGGAGGACCGGCTTTGGCGGCGGCGGTCGGGGCGGCGGGGCTGGCGGGGCCCGGCCCCGGGGGGGCGCCGGCGGCTCCCGGCGCTAAGGCGGGCGGAGCGGCCGCTTCCGCCTCGCTGGTCACGGCTTGCCGCCGGGGCTGATGGCGCTGCCTTCCCCTGTCCCTGCCTGCGGCAGCGCTAACAACCCTCGCCGCCCTCCTCCTCGTCCTGGTGAGAGCTGCGCACCGCGGTCACGGCGGGCACGGGTGGCTCCCTGTCGGGGGCGGTGCGGAGCGGGGGCTCTGCCCGCGGGTCCCGGCCCTGCCGGGGGGTCCCGGGGCCTGCAGAGGGCCCGGGCAGGGCCGGCCCAGGCTGGGGGCAGCGCGGGTGGCACCGGTAGCCTTGCGGGCAGCAGCCGGCGGGGCTGCGCTGGCACTGGGGTTGGTGCGGGCAAGGCGTCCGGGGACCTGCGGAGGGGATAAAGACGCCTTGGGAAATGTCCTGGTGACGCCCGTTCGCGGTAAACATTTCACTGTGTCTCTGCGTGGCTGAAATGCCCTGCGAGTTGCACAAGTTGGACACCCTGGAAGGTGGAATACTTTTGCCTGTCCGCAGTGCCACGTGTGCCTCCTGCCCGGAGAGGTGGTGGAGCCACCGTCCCTGGAGGTGTTTAAGTAAAGACTGCGTGTCACTCAGTGCCATGGTCTAGTTGACATGGTGGTGTTCGGTCATAGGTTGGACTCGATGATCTCAGAGGTCTTTTCCAACCTAATTGATTCTGTGATTCTGTATGTGGTGTCACCAAATAAAGTGCTCCAAACCCCAAGTTCCGACGTTTTATTTTAGCCATTCATAAGGCGATCAGAGCCTCTGTTTTGCAAGCACATGTGGCTGGCTGGTCATGAGCAATGCCATTGATTTCAGTGGTGCAGGGTGGGATCAGAGGCAGCACCAGTTTGTGTGCTTGGGATTACTTGGGGAAGGGTCAGTGGGACTTGGACTATGACTTTAGAGACATCTGCATGCTTTGCGGTCAAAAATAGCAACAAGCCAATGATGCTGACAGTGGGCAGAGTAGGAGTAACCAAATGGCATAAGAGGGTTTTAGTCCTGTGTGATTCAGTCAATGGTTGAAGCTCCACACCACTGACCCACCTCATTATTGAAATACAGTTAGTTGCCCTTTGTAGCACATTCAGTAGCTAGATCAACTTCTAATAGAATGCTCAACAATTTTTCTTATTTCTTTTTCATCACAGATTTGTACAATTGCTTATGTAGCTGCCAAAAAATGCCAACCCTTCACTGACACGAAGAAAAGAAATTCTTTGTAAACGCTGAAGGCTGGAAAGAACCTGTAGCAAGTATACATGATCCCCCTACAAGGGAACTCTCTGTTGTTGTGCCTTCGTACAATGAAGAAGACTGGTGTAAGATTTTTCTTGTTTTGAGGAAAAAAAGAAAATTTATCTGTTGTTACTGTAATAATGCAGAGGTCAGTTATGTTTGGGGTAGATTCTGGCAGGCCAGATTATGTATCAGATTTTGGACACAGTTTCCAGAAAACAGTCCAAGTACACTGAATTTCAAAATTAAGGCATTGTATAACTTGATTTCTGCTGCTAAAAATAGCATGAGGCACTTGTAAGAATCCTCTCTATTTTAATGATCCCCAGAAGAATGGTTGTTCATTGCCCCTGTAAATGCTGCAAGGCAAGAAGTAAAAAAAAGACTTCTAACACTGATTTGAGCGCTTCCCACTCTTTAAACAGCAGCAGCTTCAGATGAGCAGAAAAAAGGATGACCTCACAGGTTTGTGTTTGACTTGGCCATAGATACAATACCTGATATGAGCGAAGGCTTTCAGATGTGATACAAATAATCAAACATGGTAGTACATAAACTGTCAGCTTGTTTAAGTAAATAAAGTCAGTGCTGGTTTTCAAGGTCAGTCATGAAGAATGATTTCTTTTTCTTTTAATCTTGTGTAGAGAATTACAAATTTCAAAATGAAAAGTTGGTTCCTTAGCCTGGCAAAGCTGTAGCAATATGGTCACAGAAAGATGAGAAACTGAACTGATCTAAGATGTTTTCCTACATTCAGTTACAAAATGCCTCCTCCCTACAAGGAACTTGCCTGCACATATACCTAACAAAAACTACTAGCTTTCACCTCAGTAATTTAAATTATAAATCAACAGAAGTGTTTACTGGCAGAAGGGTGTAGAACAGTTTTCAAAAAATGCAGGATGCATAATTTTATAACTGTTTCTGAAATATCTGTTAGTTCAAGGACCGCATTCAGATGTAGAATGGTATAGAAACAATTTTAAATGCTACAGTTTTTCTTAGAATCTTTGAGAAAATATAAAATTACAAAATATGTTTCTTGCAGTGCTTCAGGTGAGAAATGATTAACGCTCATTATTAATTACATACTACTAACAGTGTTCGCGTATTAGTATTTTAAGCAGGGATCATTAATGTAAAAAACCACCACTCTTTTTGACAGAAGTGTTCTTAATACTTAAACAAAGCATTCACAGTTTTGTTAATATAATACTTCTGGTGAAAAAAACCCAAAAGAAGATAAATGGGAAAAGAAAGTTTTCAAAACGCAAACTAACAAACAGAGGTATCACAAACATAATGGCAAGCATGAATTAGCTCCTGTTGGCTCCACATATGGTGGTCCTGTACTACTGGTTTTCTGAAGCCCAACACAAGGCCTATTCTCTTCCAATTCAGGTAAAAGCACTTGCTAAACACTGTTTTGTGCACTTAAGACATAAATACAGAAGCAAGAACACTAGAAGAGGCTGCCCAGAGAAGCTGCGGATGCTCCATCCCTGGAAGAGTTCAAGGCCTGGTTGGATGGGGCTCTGAGCAACCTGCTCTAGAGGAAGGTGTTCCTGCCCACGGCAGGGGGGGTTGGAATCAGCCGATATTTGAAGATTCCCTCAGACTCAAACCATTTTACAATTCTAAAACAAGTAGTTATAAATGCGAAGCCACAGTTTTAACTTCCTTGTAATGTTATCAGCTTTGTCAGGGGAGATTTAGGGTGAATATCAGGAAAAGGTTCACCCAGAGGTTAGGTGGTGGAAGAGGTTCCCCAGGGAAGTAGTCACAGCACCAAGCCTGACAGAGTCCAGGAATGTTTGGACAATGCTCTCAGGCACGTGATGTGACTCTTGGGTGTCCTGAATAGGGCGAGGACTTAGACGCGGTGATCCCTGTGGATCCTCGGGATACTCCGCGATTCTGTAACACCAGCTAGCTCCGGGCCACACCTTGCTCCGCGCTTTGCCGGGCCTTTTCCCGGCTGGACACCCCTTGCTCGCTCAGCCCCCCGCCCACGTCAGGGCCTCGCATCCCCAGCACCGACCCCATCCCTCCCCTCGCGGTGTGGCGGGAGGGCGATCCTCGCGCGCGGGCGGAGCCCCAGGACAGGCTCGGCGGGACCGCGGCCGCGGGGCCCGGCACTTGCGAACGCGGCCGCCATGGCGGCACCAGCACCGCCGCCGTCCCGGACGTGGCGCTCCTGGCGGCCCAGGCCCGCCCGGCGGGCTCTGCGGGAGGACCGGCTTTGGCGGCGGCGGGCGGGCGGTGGGGCTGGCGGGGCCCGGCCCCGGGGGGGCGCCGGCGGCTCCCGGCGCTAAGGCGGGCGGAGCGGCCGCTTCCGCCTCGCTGGTCACCGCTTGCCGCCGGGGCTGATGGCGCTGCCTTCCCCTGTCCCTGCCTGCGGCAGCGCTAACAACCCTCGCCGCCCTCCTCCTCGTCCTGGTGAGAGCTGCGCACCGCGGTCACGGCGGGCACAGGTGGCTCCCTGTCGGGGCGCGGTGCGCCCGAGTGCAGCGGGGCTCTGCCCGCGGGTCCCGGCCCTGCCGAGGGTCCCAGGGCCTGCAGAGGGCCCGGGCAGGGCCGGCCCAGGCTGGGGGCAGCTCGGGTGGCACCGGTAGCCTTGCGGGCAGCAGCCGGCGGGGCTGCGCTGGCACTGGGGTTGGTGCGGGCAAGGCGTCCGGGGACCTGCGGAGGGGATAAAGACGCCTTGGGAAATGTCCGGGGGACGCCCGTTCGCGGTAAACATTTCACTGTGTCTCTGCGTGGCTGAAATACCCTGCGAATTGCAGAAGTTGGACACCCTGGAAGGTGGAATACTGCTGCCTGTCCGCAGTGCCACGTGTGCCTCCTGCCCGGAGAGGTGGTGGAGCCACCGTCCCTGGAGGTGTTTAAGTAAAGACTGCGTGTCACTCAGTGCCATGGTCTAGTTGACATGGTGGTCTTCGGTCATAGGTTGGACTCGATGATCTCAGAGGTCTTTTCCAACCTAATTGATTCTGTGATTCTGTATGTGGTGTCACCAAATAAAGTGCTCCAAACCCCAAGTTCCGACGTTTTATTTTAGCCATTCATAAGGCGATCAGAGCCTCTGTTTTGCAGGCACATGTGGCTGGCTGGTCATGAGCCATGCCATTGATTTCAGTGGTGCAGGGTGGGATCAGAGGCATCACCAGTTTGTGTGCTTGGGATTACTTGGGGAAGGATCAGTGGGACTTGGACTATGGCTTTAGAGACATCTGCATGCTTTGCAGTGAAAAATAGCAACAAGCCAATGATGCTGACAGTGGGCAGAGTAGGAGTAACCAAATGGCATAAGAGGGTTTTAGTCCTGTGTGATGCAGTCAATGGTTGAAGCTCCACACCACTGACCCACCTCATTATTGAAATACAGTTAGTTGCCCTTTGTAGCACATTCAGTAGCTAGATCAACTTCTAATAGAATGCTCAACAATTTTTCTTATTTCTTTTTCATCACAGATTTGTACAATTGCTTATGTAGCTGCCAAAAAAATGCCAACCCTTCACTGACACGAAGAAAAGAAATTCTTTGTAAACGCTGAAGGCTGGAAAGAACCTGTAGCAAGTATACATGATCCCCCTACAAGGGAACTCTCTGTTGTTGTGCCTTCGTACAATGAAGAAGACTGGTGTAAGATTTTTCTTGTTTTGAGGAAAAAAAGAAAATTTATCTGTTGTTACTGTAATAATGCAGAGGTCAGTTATGTTTGGGGTAGATTCTGGCAGGCCAGATTATGTATCAGATTTTGGACACAGTTTCCAGAAAACAGTCCAAGTACACTGAATTTCAAAATTAAGGCATTGTATAACTTGATTTCTGCTGCTAAAAATAGCATGAGGCACTTGTAAGAATCCTCTCTATTTTAATGATCCCCAGAAGAATGGTTGTTCATTGCCCCTGTAAATGCTGCAAGGCAAGAAGTAAAAAAAAGACTTCTAACACTGATTTGAGCGCTTCCCACTCTTTAAACAGCAGCAGCTTCAGATGAGCAGAAAAAAGGATGACCTCACAGGTTTGTGTTTGACTTGGCCATAGATACAATACCTGATATGAGCGAAGGCTTTCAGATGTGATACAAATAATCAAACATGGTAGTACATAAACTGTCAGCTTGTTTAAGTAAATAAAGTCAGTGCTGGTTTTCAAGGTCAGTCATGAAGAATGATTTCTTTTTCTTTTAATCTTGTGTAGAGAATTACAAATTTCAAAATGAAAAGTTGGTTCCTTAGAAGAAATATTTTTATAATGTCTTTTATCATGTGCGTGATTTTCTTCAATGTTTTTTTTGCATTCAGAAAGGACAGAACTTAGAGTTGAAGCTGCTAAGCTTGTTTGCTGAAGGTAGGGTCGTATGAAAGAGTCGATTTTGCTGCTTTTCCTGTTATAATCTACTAATCTGACCTCCTCCACCTTTTCTCTAGTACCTCTTATGATGGATGAAGCTCTGAAATATCTAGAAAAAAGACAGGTATTTTCTTTTTGCATTCAGAATTCATTCTTTTTCGGTGTATTATGTATAAAAAGCTGTGATGTAGTTACTCTGTTATGTTGGTATACATTAAACAGTAATACTTGGCCACTTAGAAGTAACACTTCGGTCTCTTATCAGTTATTTTTAAATCAAGTGCTAAAAAGTATTTTTAAATTAAGTAAAAATTTAATATACTGCTATGGGATGAAAAATCTTCATGTGAATGTTATCTTTCCAAGACAAAGCTAAACTTTCTGAACTAAATCCTAGTTTGTTCGAACAAGTTTTTTAAGTATCAGTTCTTCATTATAATTTGTTCTCTGGGTAAGAAACTCATTGTGAAAGTTTGTGGATTTGGGTTTTTTGGGGTTTTCTTAACAGTGGTGATGTTCCGAGCATTCATCCTTTACGATTGAATTGATTTTTCGGTTCTGGATGGTGTCATGACAACCCAGTGTAATGGCATGTTCATCAAATATGGCAAAATTCTTTAATTATGCCATGTTGACAAATTTACTATGTTAGTAAATTTATTATGTTAGTGTCCGTTGGCAGCCATGAATGATTTAAAACCTGCTAGGGAGAAAAGAATAATGATGTTTGAAAGACCTATTGCCTACTTAAGAAATGGGATTAAATGTATTATTTCTGCTTTTATTTTCAAGAAACGAGACTTAAGAAGTCATAGTAGTTAATGATAGTAGTAAATATCAAACTACAAAGATAAGAAAAAAAATTGTCTTCCTATGCAATCAGAGGTGTTGGGGTTTACACTACATTTGTGGAATATAACAGTTTTTTGCATTTATATTTTGGTACTTGAAATAGTTTACAACTGAAGTTAATATTTCTGAGTGCTTTCTGTCATTGTTCTATATGCATCATGGATGTCACATATGCACATGAATACATACACAATTCCTTTGCAAATTCTAGTTTTCTTGGTTGGTGACTGTGGCAGCTATTTTCCTGCAGCTGAGATTCTCAGAATTCTAATCCTAGCTTCAAGAAATTTCTTACTAAATACTCCATCTATGCATAGTGATGATGTGAATATGAACTTGAGGAAGCTAGAAAGTCTTTTAAAATACCCGATTCATACTGTGAATGACAGAACATCTGACATAGTTCTTCCTCACACCCTTCATGGCATTGTTTATTTAAAAATACCTGTGCCAGTAGTAGTATTTTCAAAATAGGTCTGTATTCTTCTGGTTCAACTCTGATGTATGTCACTGGAAAGGAAGGCTCGCTAACTTGAGGGCTTTTTTTACCATTGCTTGGAAGATGTTTGAGGTAGCTACTAAAATGCATACTGCTTTTTGATTTACTTTCCTTAAGCTTGTCCATTAAGGATTGTTCGTAAATATTTTTGACTACTGTGCATTCCTTCTGGCATCTCTTTTAACTGAGCACACAATGGCTGCAGGCCTCTGGACTTACAAGCACTCAAGACAACCTTTAGAAAAAATTAGGATGAGAAAACTCATGCTGTCTCTTCCTCACAGCATGGAACAATATCTGCAGATCCTTGCAGTGTGAATGGGATTTTAGATCAATGTGAATTTTTGTTTAAAACCACAGATAGCAACAAGACAAATGATAAATAGGTGACTGAAGTAGAAAATTATATTACTTTTATTAACTATTGGTGTTAATATAAAAGGTCTGTAATAGTATAAGTTGAAGTAGGATTGAGTTTTTTGGAGGTGGGAGGATGGGGTTTGGAGTATCCTTTTCTTTTGAACATGACTAGTTTCTTCAGTCTTCTTGTTTTGACTGTGAACTGGTTTTTATTTTCCTGAACAGACTCCAGCGAACAGTGGCAATGTATTTGTGCTGACTGAAGTGATTATACCTCTGTGCTGTTGATTTATTTTCTTTTAAAGGGTGAACAAATATAAGCTTCTACCTTGATTCCTGGGTTTGTTTTATCCTGGTTTTTTGTGTGTCTATCAGGTTGCAATGGAGTACTGGAAGAAATATGGAAGCGACAAAGCGTGAGTGCTTTCTTTGGTAAAAAATAGAGGGAAAGAAGGAGTAGTCAGGATGGTAATTGATACTTTCATCTCCTTCTCTGTTTGAGCCACCAAATATGCAGAAGATAGAGCTGTGCTGATTGACATTTTGAATTCAATGCATTAACAAATGATTATGAGAAAACTGAGTACAGATTCTATAAATAAAAGCAAAAACTTTTTTCAAAATAAGCTGATTTGAGATCTTGGAAACAGTATTTTCTTACCAGGAAGATCAATAATGAAGACATTTTTTTGTATGAGATTTCAAAGGGAAAATAAATACTTGAATTTCATATTCATGTTAGTTCCACTTAGAAATAGACTTGTGTTTATGGCTTATAAAAGCCAACCAAAAAAAAACCCAACCAAACTGTTACAGATTAAAGTTAAGGTTTTGTAGACAAAATACAGCCAAATTTGCAAACTTTGTTCTTCAGGTCATAGATGTGTTTTTTAAAATAGCTAATAAAGAAGCATTCTCATCCTTCAAAGTTTGTTTTTAGTGAAACCCACTGTTATCACCCACACTCGATAGCAGAAACAGCACAATTTATGCTTTCACACAGACATTATCATGAAATCATCATGTCCTAAAAATAAAATAGCTGTTACACATTTAGAAGGACTATCTTCTTCCTAAGATGAATGATACCTTATTTTTATGAAAAAGGATGATATCATCTGTGAGTTATCAGTGACTTGTCTTCATCTGTATTTTGTGCTCTATCTTTAACATATTTTTTTATGAAAAATGAGTAAATATAGGAAATGGAGAGAACATTATATTAGATTATATGGAATTTTTGTAAGATATATACTTCTGAAGTTATTTCCAGAGAAGAAGAAAATTCTCGTGTGTGATACACTTCTGCAACGCAGAGTGTAGAGTGGATGTGTATACAACTACTTCCTTGACAGGATTTTCCAAACTCACACATGCTTGGTTGCAACAGTACTTCAGTCAAACTACTGCTAATTGTTTTCCTGTCTGGACCCCTTCAAAAATTGTGAAATTTTTCTGACCAAGAATATAGCAAAACAGGTTGTGAGACCTCTGCATCACAAATGTTTTGCAGTGATACTGTGACTTAAGACTGAATCTTAAATTAGTTTTGAGAAACAGCTCTTGAATTCTTTTGAAACAGTGTTGGGAAAAACTAGCTCTACATCCTCCTTTCCGTAGCTCAAATGGCAAAGAAAAGCCATCCAGTGCAGTGGCAGCTGCTAATCAGTGCTTCTTGTGCTCCCCTCTACAGCTGACTGTAGCAACTTGTTGACTGTTAGATTTTGGATTGTAAAGCTTTTAATTTGCAACCATCTCTTCAGAAGGATTGTTAGCCTTTTGTGTTCATGCTTTGTCTGTCACTGTGGGACACTACGCAGTGTGTAAAGTCTCTTGATGCTATTATAATATAAATTGGTAAATTGTTGTGAGTAGCAGAACATTAGGACTCACTTGTTGTGTTGAATCTGTGAGATATCACTGTTCTTGTTACTACCTTAGTTTTCTGGAGTCTTTTGCACCTAACTTATGACAAATACTGATTTCAAAAGTGTTGATTTTTATTGACTCTTTTCATTGCAAGGTGTCTTTAGTTCTCAGGGAAAAAATTCTTATGGCTGATGCAGATGGAGCTACAAAATTTGCAGATATTGAAAAAGTAGAAGAAGGTCTAAAAAATCTCCAGCCATGGCCTGTGAGTATAAATTCTCATAGCTTTAGTTTAATACACATGCACACAGATTGACCTTTGTAATTCTCTTCAACCTGAGTTTTTTGAGATCCGACTGAAGATGTAGGTGTAAGTCTGAAGACCTAGGTGTAAGCTTAGAAGCTTCAAGAATGGGCTGTCAGAAAGAGCTCCCACAGATTTCTTAACTCCTTTACATCCACTGTGCCTACTTCAATGCAGTACAGAATGTTCTATTTATCCTTTCTTTTAACTTCTTTGAAGTTGTTCTGTTCTGTATAAATACCATGTGTTGCCTACTTAGTTTTCTTTGTTAACTGTTTTGTATTTTCATTTTATCTGATGTCATCCTATATACCTTTAAGGATGCATCCTAATTTCACCCTCTTTTAAAGAGGTTTTCTTTTCTCAGGGTCCTTAGTTAAATGACAGTGTTTGGAAGAACTTTTATTGTAAATAAAAATTCAAAAACCTGTGGAAGAGGAACACCTCCCTGCATAGTCATTCTCTTTTGGGAGCTTGACTTGAAAGAACTGAGGTTTATTTTCTGCTTAAACACAGACGAGTGAGGTACTTGTAGCTAGTTTCCCAAAGTGCCAGAAGTGATGTGCAAGCTTCCAGCCAGAGCTGCAAGGGATGTGCCTGTGGAATGGGTCATGTCTGTGAGTTCAGAAGCACAAGTGCAGGACCAACAGGCAGTGGTGTGACCATGATGCTCTTTGCTACAAGGGCAGCAGGAGCTGCTACTTCTCCAGCATCAGTCCCACACTCTCAAATATAGTAGATTTGAGTGATTTCATATGAGAAATAGCAGCACGAGAACAATGCTAAACCTTTTGTTTTCATCGCATTTACTTAATTTGAAGTTACATGTTTGTCTAACACTGTGGCATTTTATTTGTTGAAGGTACATCAGTGCAACAAATATTTTGTTCTGTTACCCTTCCATTGCACAGTATTTAAGGAAAACAGTTTCTAGGAATGCTGCATGCTTATCTGTGCTGTTAAACACTTATACTGTATGCATACAGTAAACAGTGTAAGCTAAACCAAGCTTGAATAGATTGAAGTAATTTGTATGCACCATATGCAAACTGTAATAAACTTTAGATTATCCATAAACCGTAGAAAAGACTGATTTGGGCTCAGAATTTAGCAGTAGAAGAGGTGCAGCTAGAGGGAGCAGAAAAGTATACTGCTTTGAAGTTTTTATATGGTTCTCAACACAAGATTCCACTGATTCTGAAATACTAGTTTAAGTAATAACTCTTTAATTTATATTCCTATACAGAACTAGATGGCTATTTCCTGTGGTTCTAGAGCTTATCGAAAAAGGATGATATCATCTGTGAGTTATCAGTGACTTGTCTTCATCTGTATTTTGTGCTCTATCTTTAACATATTTTTTTATGAAAAATGAGTAAATATAGGAAATGGAGAGAACATTATATTAGATTATATGGAATTTTTGTAAGATATATACTTCTGAAGTTATTTCCAGAGAAGAAGAAAATTCTCGTGTGTGATACACTTCTGCAACGCAGAGTGTAGAGTGGATGTGTATACAACTACTTCCTTGACAGGATTTTCCAAACTCACACATGCTTGGTTGCAACAGTACTTCAGTCAAACTACTGCTAATTGTTTTCCTGTCTGGAACCCTTCAAAAATTGTGAAATTTTTCTGACCAAGAATATAGCAAAACAGGTTGTGAGACCTCTGCATCACAAATGTTTTGCAGTGATACTGTGACTTAAGACTGAATCTTAAATTAGTTTTGAGAAACAGCTCTTGAATTCTTTTGAAACAGTGTTGGGAAAAACTAGCTCTACATCCTCCTTTCCGTAGCTCAAATGGCAAAGAAAAGCCATCCAGTGCAGTGGCAGCTGCTAATCAGTGCTTCTTGTGCTCCCCTCTACAGCTGACTGTAGCAACTTGTTGACTGTTAGATTTTGGATTGTAAAGCTTTTAATTTGCAACCATCTCTTCAGAAGGATTGTTAGCCTTTTGTGTTCATGCTTTGTCTGTCACTGTGGGACACTACGCAGTGTGTAAAGTCTCTAGATGCTATTATAATATAAATTGGTAAATTGTTGTGAGTAGCAGAACATTAGGACTCACTTGTTGTGTTGAATCTGTGAGATATCACTGTTCTTGTTACTACCTTAGTTTTCTGGAGTCTTTTGCACCTAGCTTATGACAAATACTGATTTCAAAAGTGTTGATTTTTATTGACTCTTTTCATTGCAAGGTGTCTTTAGTTCTCAGGGGAAAAAATTCTTATGGCTGATGCAGATGGAGCTACAAAATTTGCAGATATTGAAAAAGTAGAAGAAGGTCTAAAAAATCTCCAGCCATGGCCTGTGAGTATAAATTCTCATAGCTTTAGTTCAATACACGTGCACACAGATTGACCTTTGTAATTCTCTTCAACCTGAGTTTTTTGAGATCCGACTGAAGATGTAGGTGTAAGTCTGAAGACCTAGGTGTAAGCTTAGAAGCTTCAAGAATGGGCTGTCAGAAAGAGCTTCCACAGATTTCTTAACTCCTTTGCATCCACTGTGCCTACTTCAATGCAGTACAGAATGTTCTATTTATCCTTTCTTTTAACTTCTTTGAAGTTGTTCTGTTCTGTATAAATACCATGTGTTGCCTACTTAGTTTTCTTTGTTAACTGTTTTGTATTTTCATTTTATCTGATGTCATCCTATATACCTTTAAGGATGCATCCTAATTTCACCCTCTTTTAAAGAGGTTTTCTTTTCTCAGGGTCCTTAGTTAAATGACAGTGTTTGGAAGAACTTTTATTGTAAATAAAAATTCAAAAACCTGTGGAACAGGAACACCTCCCTGCATAGTCATTCTCTTTTGGGAGCTTGACTTGAAAGAACTGAGGTTTATTTTCTGCTTAAACACAGACGAGTGAGGTACTTGTAGCTAGTTTCCCAAAGTGCCAGAAGTGATGTGCAAGCTTCCAGCCAGAGCTGCAAGGGATGTGCCTGTGGAATGGGTCATGTCTGTGAGTTCAGAAGCACAAGTGCAGGACCAACAGGCAGCGGTGTGACCATGATGCTCTTTGCTATGAGGGCAGCAGGAGCTGCTGCTTCTCCAGCATCAGTCCCACACTCTCAGATATAGTAGATTTGAGTGATTTCATGTGAGAAATAGCAGCACGAGAACAATGCTAAACCTTTTGTTTTCATCACATTTACTTAATTTGAAGTTACATGTTTGTCTAACACTGTGGCATTTTATTTGTTGAAGGTACATCAGTGCAACAAGTACTTTGTTCTGTTACCCTTCCATTGCACAGTATTTAAGGAAAACAGTTTCTAGGAATGCTGCATGCTTATCTGTGCTGTTAAACACTTATACTGTATGCATACAGTAAACAGTGTAAGCTAAACCAAGCTTGAATAGATTGAAGTAATTTGTATGCACCATATGCAAACTGTAATAAACTTTAGATTATCTGTAAACCATAGAAAAGACTGATTTGGGCTCAGAATTTAGCAGTAGAAGAAGTGCAGCTAGAGGGAGCAGAAAAGTATACTGCTTTGAAGTTTTTATATGGTTCTCAACACAAGATTCCACTGATTCTGAAATACTAGTTTAAGTAATAACTCTTTAATTTATATTCCTATACAGAACTAGATGGCTATTTCCTGTGGTTCTAGAGCTTATCTGGAGAAGAACTCAGTAGCAAAGGTTTGTTTCCATTTCCTGCTATGTACTAATACCCAAATACTTTCATTATTTGTTTCTGCTCTACAGATTTTGCAATTAAATAATCCATATTTGTAAAAGAATGCAAGCTAAAAATAAGGAAAAGATTGTCATAAGTGTAGGATGTGCTCCATCATATACAGAGGACGTGTTCTAGATTTCAGGCACTTTGTACTTGTTTCAGTCTGTGCTCCAATTTATGGATTTAATTTTTCAAGTTGAGAACATGTCATGAGCAGAGCCTCTACACCCTGATAAAATTGGTAACTAGTAACCAGTACTGGGGCTAGAGTGGAAGGAAACTGAGTTCATTTATTACTGATTCCCTTCCCGTGCAAGAGCTTGACCTGCAGATCTTGAAACCTGTTTAAAGTGATTTAGGAATAATTAGCAGTGAACTGTTTGAAGAGTATCTCAGTTCGTGGGAAAGTGGTGTAATTTTTCTGTATTACTCATCATAAAATTTGTGAGTTTTGAACACAGAGACAGTACTGTTCTATGTGTGACTCTTGTGGAATAAACAGTGATGCATAGGCACATGACCTTATCTTGCATCTGGTTTTCTGATGTCTTGGCAGAGAGTAGTTGACAAACTACAGGCATGGGACTTGTATTGCAACAGACGCATTGCTGGGCTCATTTTTTCAGCATCATTGGATGTGCTCATCATGTTGTATGTTTTCATGAGTAAGCTTTGTTTATACTGATGCTTAATACTTGAAATCATTCTAAAATATATACACAACTACTAAAATAGTTACAAAAGTTCAAAACAAGTTATACAGGTAATGTTCAGACAGTTGAGCCCAGAAAAAAAATGCTTCATTGTATGGTCAGGTACTGAATGTAGATAAACTTTCTTCAGTGCATTCATATTTTCTTTTCATCTTTGAAGATCTTGCTACACAGGGGAGACGAATTGGAACAGGACTTTTATCTTTTAATTCAAAAGTACAATTTTTAGGATGTGTCTATGCTTTTTTTCCTGTTTCTCCATGTATTTCTGATTTTAATAAAGGAATCACCAACTGGTTAGGTAGAACTGATTTGTTTGAAATATGTAGCCCATTTCATTTCATCATCCAGCTGTATCTAGTCTGGAACAGAAAGACTACTGCAGTGGGAAGAAAATACCTATTGTGTAGTGCAATAGGTGTAAAACAGTTGCAGAACAATCTTTCAGATGTTGTGATTTCTGTCTGTACTTAGTGGCATCTAAAACAGTAGAATGAAGCTGTGATAAGCAGCTGTATGGGATTTATTGAGACCAGAACTTCACCTTAAATTCAGTGAGAAGATATCAAGAATTCTGTTCTGCCTCCAGAATTGTTAATATACTTTAATGAATCCAAAATATGACATGTATAAATAGTCTTAGGAGTGATAATCATAACCCAGGAACTCTTTGTGAAGTAAGTGCACAGTTAAACTGTCTGACAATCATGCAGCCTCTTAGCGCTTCCCTTTTGGCACTAGTGGCAGACAGCCTTGTGTTCTTGGTCACAGAGCCATGAGAGTCAAAGAAGCCACACCAGATCTATCATTAACCTGGGACTGGAGCACTTTTTGAAAGGCACAAGCTGTGAATTTTAATTTTAGCCAAAGGCTGTTGCCTAATAAGTCGAGCATCTTTTCATTTTTCAAGTGAGGTTCTAAATTGTTAGGTTTGAAGGCATCTCTTTTCACCCAGAGATGCTTACCAGTTACATTGGTGGCTCCTAAACATTTTATATGATATTTGGTTTGCAGTCTTAAATACAATTGCTTAAATTGAGCTTAAGACCAGCAGTGAGTTCAGAAGTGATTTGTAAATCAGAGTTCTAGTTGTTTAGGAACTGTCTTGAATAAAAGACTAAGAGTGACCTCTGCAAATCTAGACTCCAGCCTCTGGAGTCCATGGACAAACTTATCTGTATGATTGTTGCATCAGGAACAAAAGTGTAACCAAAGAGTAGGCTGGAAAAACATTTACCAGGAACGTAAAATATATCTGTGAAAGCAAAAGAACAAAAGAGATGACTGTGTAAATTGCTGGAAATATAAAATGAAGTATTATCTTGCTCAGTAGACTTTACTTAAGACCTGATTTTTACTTGGTCCATCATATACTGCAAACAGGTGCATTCTCCAGTTGCATTCTCTTAAGTGCTTTAATATAGTGTGTGCAAGTTCTGGAGATCATTCAGTCTTGAATGAAAGAAGTTGGGTGGCAAATAACAGGAAATGCTCCCATTTGGGTTTTTTAATAATAAAAAACTTTTTTCAGTTTTTGTGTTGGATTAGCAGCTGGAACCTGTTTAGTTTAAATCTGTGTTCTTAAAGAGTAGCACTTTATGGAGTCCTGCTGGCTTAATGTCCATTGTCTATCTTGGTAACTTTTGAATTTGTTGCATCTGTTCAGCCAGTTTTTAGAAACACAAGAAGTCTAGACAGTGGGGAAAAGTAGCTTGTAAGTGTCAAGTGGATTAGAGTGTGTAACATGCCATCCTCTTCCTCTTTCACTCTTCTTTTCCTTGGGGAATTCCCAAAGAATCATGCAGAAGATACTGTGGCCATCACACTCATTATTTGAAATCCAGGTGCAGGTTCCTGCTTTACTTAATAAAACATTTTTCCAAGTGAAAAGCTGCTGTGAGTTGGGGAAAGCAGAAAAAAGGACTTGGACTTCTCCTATCCTAGGCTGTGCTTGATTGGCAAATCCTTCCCTTTCAGCTGCAGTTTTTTTCTCTGTAACAATTGATAGGTTCTGTTTTGGTTCCAGTGCAAAACAAAAACAGTTTACAAACTTTGAAAGGTGTCACAAAACCGGATTATTGTCCTGTAAGACCACTCTGTTCAAGCACTTCTCTCATCACTTAAATGAAACCATCTAACTTCCTGCCTTTTGTCCACAGTGCTCTTAATTTCAAACTCTTCTTATGTTCAGGTTCCACTTCCTTGTTTGGTTCCTCTGTGTCAAAGAGATCAGGGAGACACAGTGAGGATTTAAACTTCTAACCAGGGAAGATGCCTTGCAGACTTTCTCAACTCTTCATATAGAATGCTTGATAAATTGTTCCTTTTTTTGTTGTTGGGGTTTTTTTAATAATTGAACGTGGTTTTGAAAAAGTAATTTTGATATTGCAGCTACTAGGAAGCATGTCATGTCTGTGTATAAATCCTAGCTGCTCAGTTTAACCAGTTATAGTTCTGCTTGCGTAGCAGCTTAGATTTCTTGTTATGTTAAAATATCCTGGTAATTGCTAGAAATTCTATGTTCTTTACAATTCAGTAATGCTTAAGCAAAACATTTTACCTAGAATCAATATCTGATGTTTGTAATTGCTGAAGACTCAAAGTGAAAGCAAATGCTTATTCTTTATTTATTTTCTTGGTAAAATATTTGATGAGAGGCCTACTGATACATATCATTAATTCGAGACAATAAAAGATGATTCATATTCTTTGAATTACTTCAGTGCTCCTTTTGTTGTAACGTAGCTAGAACAGTTCCCTTATGAGAGTGATAGAGTCATGAGTACTGTTATGGGACTGAAACATTGTTTCCACACAATTACTATAATTTCTTTAAATTTCCTGCACCGAAATTGTTGCTAAAAAGGGTAGTTTAATTAAGTATAATCAAATATTTTCAAACTGTTTGTCTTCATTCAAGAAGATCTCTCGTGGGCTACTGCTTGCTGACAGGGAACAGAACTACTGAACAGCGTTCCTGTACAAGAATGTGCAAGCCTACAGTACCTAGTCAAGTCCAATACATCTAGTTTTAGGTTGAGGTTTGGCAGCGATAGTTGAGCTACATTGCTCCTCCAGAATGAAATTGTGAATATAATGTTTGGGCATACAAGTGTGGAACACAGAGCTTCTGTTGTATGGAATCTGTAACTGTGAGCAGTCAATGTTCAAAAAATCACTTTTCTATCCAAGTGGTTTTCTTATTGCTCTAAAGGAAACTATAGCTGAGCCAGAAGTATGATTTGTGCTGCTACCTCCAAACCCAAACTTGATCTGTAAAGTTCTGTCAGTTTCACATAGAGGGATTTTCTAAATGCATGGTTAAACACATATGTGAGGTCCAGAAGTGCATATCACAAAATTGCCCTATTTAGCTTCACTTTATAAATTAAGCTCTTCCAGAAGAAAACTGAAAAAGATAAATGAGGATAATTAGTTTAAGCTGCAAAAATGCAATCTTAAGTTTTATTTTTTTCAAACTGAAGATTCTGATTCTAATTGCACTTACTGGTTATATGAAGTGTTTTCTACAGAAAAAATCTTAACAAGCTTTCTTCTGCCACTTCAATTCTGTAGCACCAAAGGAAGGAAAGAGTGAAAATAAATGTGTTGTACCCCATTACGTGGGAATAGAGGCAATGAAAAAAGGATATTGCTAACTTATAGTAATTATATTGTTGATGTGTAACACACCAGATCTTCATATCTTAATTCATTGTGCCTTGTATGTACTGCTATAAAATTTGCCTTCTATTCTTGCTCTTTTATTTACAGTAATCAAAAAAGTAATCCCCTGTGCGTTTTCTTATTTATCAAAAATGTACTGGTTAGTGATGAAGAATGTTTTGTTTGTCAAGGAAAGAATAATTCAAATTCTTCCAATAAAGAAGCTCTTCAGATAATTCCAAGTCACAAATTTGCCTAAAACAACAATAGTTTGTTTGGGGTTTTTTAGTTTGGTTTAATTTTCTGCTAAAACAGGAAATATGTTGTCTGTTTTTATCTTCATCTGTCCATCAACAGTCTCCATTTCCCTGCTTTCAATTTCATGTTTATTGGCTAATTTAAACCAAATCTGGCAGAACAGTAGAGATTTCAAGATCAAAAGCTTTGGCAAGTTTTGTGGAAACTGAAACCCTCTTAGAGGAGAGAAACTAGTATTATTGCCACTGCTGAAGAAAAAAAAACTACAGTAAGGATTCAAAAGTCACTTACCATCTTCACAGCTAGTCATTTAGCATGTATAA